CTGGGGTCACCGTATGTACCATCACGGGCGGTTAGGGGGCATCGGGGCGCCCCGGGGGCTGTGCACTGCATGGCAGTCGGTTTGCCACGGCAGGTGGCTTGGGCATCCCATACATCACTCGCATCCAGGTGCAGGGTCCCGGCAGGCAGGCATGCTCCTGTCCCCCTGCCACCACGGACACGAACCGGGACCCACTGCCACTGCAGGGCCGAGGAGCGCCCGCCCGCCGCCGGGCCGGCTCATTCCGCAAGCCCCCTCCGGATGCCGGTGCAGCCCGGTGCTGCCTGTCCCCATGTCAGTAGCTGGCTGGAGGAGCCAGGTGCTGGCCGTGCCTCAGACGATGCTGTGCCTCACACCGGGCTCGTGGGGTGCCTGGAGCTGCAGAGGGGTTCCTGGCAGGTGCCGGCGGCAGCAGACACAGTGCAGGAAGTCAGCGACGTTGTGCCGGAAGAGCTGGCGGCAGGGATGCAGGTATTGGAAGAAGAGGAGCATGAAGTAGATGGCCAGGCAGTAGCCCAGGAGCAGTTGCACCACCAGCAGCGGGGTGCAGATGTTCTCATAGACATCTGTCTTAAAGAAGTACCAGAGGATGACAAGGGTCGCGTTCTCCGCCAGCCGGGCCACGTAGTACACGGCCAGGCGGCCCCAGTTCTGCGACTTGTCAATGAGGTCCCGGTCAGCCAGCTTGAGCTGCACGGCCGACCAGCAGAACATGTTGATGCCGGCATAGAGGAGGGTGAAGGCGCAGAGCACCACCACCGTGCCCACCCGGCTGAAGTTCTTCTCGATGTTGTCAGGCAGGCGGGTACCGCTCCGCCAGAACTGCACCCAGGGCAAGGAGAAGACTACAATGGGGATAATCCAGTGCTTGAAGACGGTGCTGAAGAGCACAAGGACGGCCACGCGGGTGGAGATCTCCAGGCTGCGCCACAGCACGATGCAGAGGAAGGCCAGCGGCCTCAGCTGGACTTTGTAGTCATCATACTTGACCTGGATGGCCAGGACGTTGCAGACGAGCGCTCCGTAGGTGACCGACACCAGGCAGATGCCCATGAGGACGGCTGCGGAGGGAGAGGGCAGGAGAGTCAGGACTGGGCCGTGTATCCAGCCTTCCCACTGCCCCAAGGGCAGAACGTGGGGTGCCAGCCCTGGGTGCGCAGTGCTGGGTGCCAAGCACTGGGGTTGGCAGCAGGAGGCTCAGTGCGAGCGCTGCTGGGACAGCTGGTGGCCGGTGGTGACAGACCCCGTGACGGGGTGGCTGTGGGGGGAGCTGCAGGCAGCAGGAGGCTCTGCTCCCAGATTTTCTCCCAACACCAATAAACCAGACGCCTTTACCAAACTGGAGCGGTTCCTGTGCTTGAACCCAGCATCAACCCCCTGCCCTGTGCAAGAAAAGCTGCGCAAGCACGACCAGGGCACGGTCTGCGCTGTGAGAGTCCCTCTGCCCCGCCTGGACCAAGAGCTGCACCGCGGTAGCCCACCACTCCAGAGCCCTCCTCGTCTGGGGGCTGCAAAGCCAAGGTCATTAGTAGGGAATGCCGGCAGCTGCTCATGTTCAGTGCAGCCAGGAAAACCGCGACAGAGGAAAAGGGAAGCGTGCGGCTGGTCTCAGTTGTGCCACGCTGGCAGCGGGGGCTGTGAGCTGCGGGACTGAGCCGAGACAGCCAAGCTGCGAGGGAACGACCCGAAATGTGTCCACAGGGATTCGCTTCCCACATCTGCTGCTGGAGGAGCGCTGGGGCTCGTGCTCCTGCCTCCACTGCTCCCACTCCCCAAAACACCCTCGCAGGGGGCTGTGGCCAAGGAGGGGGTTTCTATGGGGCATCTCCCGTGTTCCCCTTTCCATGTGCCTGCTGTGGGCACTGAGGGCAAGGTCTGGGCTCCCAGCATGGCCAGGACAGTGAGTTGGCAAAGGCAGCTCCTTTGCCAGGCGCTGCAATTGGAAAGGTGCAAGAGCGTTCCTGCACGCCCGGCTCATCAGCATGCCAAAGCGGGATTTAAAAGCTCCAGCACATCCAGCCCCCGAACACACAAACACCCCAGGAGCAGGTGAGGGAGCCTGGGAGAGCTGGGCTGGGAGCTCTGGCCATTGGGAAAGGCTCAGAAATAGATCCAACAGAGGGACCGTGGGAAAGGCAGAGCCCATAGCTAGAAGGAAAAACCCAGTAACTAATGCAGACTGGAGCAGCCTGAGGCAGGGACATGACATCTTTATGGGACATGGACCGGGTGATGGCACGACTTTGTAGGACGGTCATCTGCAGGCACCGGGGCTGGGAACAGGGCTGGCACCTCGGTCACAGCCAGCAAAAAAACAGCTCTTCCCACCCTCCCAGCCTCACTCCAAGCTGGAGAGCAGAGCGCTGGGCATGGGAAAAGCAAACCAGGAGACAGATGAGTGCCCAACCTCTGCGGGTTGAGCTCCACGTTTAGGGGAGTCCAGTGGCAGCTGTGCCCCCAGCAAGCCCCTGGAGCTTCATTTGGATGCCACACTGGTACACGTGGCTTAAGGAGCTGCCGCCATGCCCTGGTGGGGTCCCACCTGCGTGGCCCAGGGAAGCCCCCATGCCAGGCACCCTTACCTCGGGCAGCTGGGACGTACTTCTCCAGGATGCTGATGTAGAGCTGGAGGGTGAGCTGCGGGGTGGAGCCCAGGAAGGCCTGGATGACCGCCATGCGCTTGAAGGCGTTGCGGTGCGTGGCCAGCCGGCGCACTGAGTGGCCCACCTCCTGCTCCATCTCCACCTCATAGCCTTTCCGCAGCCGCCGCTTGCGGGTGATGGTGACGTAGGGCTCCTCCTCCTTCCCCGACCAGCAGTACACCACCAGGGCCTCCATGCACCTGCAGGGACGTGGCAGCCATCACCCTGCCAGCCCGCCCCACTCCTTGCACCTCCAGCCCCGCCTTGCCCAGTGCCAGCCAGACTCTGCTCCTGCCAGGCACAGCCGAACTGATTTGGGCAACTGTTCAGCAGCGCTGCGGGCAATCCCTGGCCCTGGGATGCCAGGATGAGGATGCGGTCACACCAGGACCACGGGGATGCTCTGGCACTCAGGGTGAAGCATGTGGCACAGGAGCACAACAGCTGCCCAAGCGAGGGGTGCATTGACTGCTGCAAGAGGTGCAGCATCCAGAGTGCGGAAACTTTAGCTCTGCCGGGAGCTAGAGCTACAGGGAGGGGTTAATCACCCTCGGGCTCTGTTTTCCCCACTGGCACGAAACAGCATCTCTTCCTCTAAGCGGCAAGAGAAACTTTCTGATGTTGTCTTTGATCTCTCCTCTCCAGTAGAAGTCTTCTACGCTTCCTTCTTGGTGGGGACGGCAGGAAGGGGAGCGCGGGGTGAAGCCGGGTGTGACATGGGCAGATAAGATAGCGCTTCCGCAGCCCCCTCCCCGTGGAGCACGGGCGAACGTGCGGGCAGAGGAAGCGGATTTCTCCCCCGCTGCTCCCCGCTGCAAGGCCAGCGGGCAGCGGGACCCCAGCCCCTCCACACACAGCCATGCCGTGGGTGTGCACGGGCCAGGGGCCATCAGCAAAGGGGACCCATGCGACAGGCTTGGCTCCTGCCTGGGGATTAGCTGGCTCTGGCACCAACAGGATGTAATTATTTGTGAACAGTCATTAGGACAGCAGAAGTTGCCCTGTTTCAGACCCAAATGGAATGAGGTTTTTGGATAAATTCTCTTGCCAGTTCAGGCCAGCACTCATGGCTCATCGCAAACTGGGCCATCAGCAAAGGGAACCCATGCGACAGGCTTGGCTCCTGCCTGGGGATTAGCTGGCTCTGGCACCAACAGGATGTAATTATTTGTGAACAGTCATTAGGACAGCAGAAGTTGCCCTGTTTCAGACCCAAATGGAATGAGGTTTTTGGATAAATTCTCTTGCCAGTTCAGGCCAGCACTCATGGCTCATCGCAAACTCTAACAGGAAAACGGTTTCATCCAAAAGGCCCGCCGTCAAGGGCAGTCCCAGCTGGCTCCCGGTGCCCTGCCAGGCCTTCCCAGGAGGCTGGGCTCCATCTCCAGCCCAAGGAGCCAACCGAAGCTCCTCTCCGCCAAGCAGCTCTGGCTGGCACTTGCAAGCAGCAGAGCACCATCGTAACCATCTCAGACGGCTGTGGTCAGCACGGTGAGAGCTGCGACAGCACTGTGGGCTGACATGGGCTGGAGTGGACCCACACCCCTTCCAACAGCTGGTGGCACGGAGGTGAGGCTCCCCAGCTGCCT